TGTTTAAGATATTCAAGTGGTTTAATTCATTTTGTGACATTTGATTTGATTTTTGTGAAAACATTTGTATTAGTTACTTCTGTGTTGATGGGCTGAATTTTCTGCATTGTTGTATTCCATTATATCGTTAACAAACAAAATTAATCTTGAAAATTTAAAGCCTTTTTGAATCGGTTATTTTCAATAACAGATTCAAAAGCTAATCTTTTGCATCGATTATTACTAAAAAACCGATTCAAATGCCCCTACCCAGAAATGGCGCCATATTTGGGTAGGAGCATTTGAATCGGTTATTTGTAATAACCGATTCAAAAGATTAGCTATTGAATCGGTTCTAACAAATAACCGATTCAAAAGCCCCTACCCAAATATGGCGTCATTTCTGGGTAGGGGCATTTGAATCGGTTTTTTAGTAATAACCGATGCAAAAAGCCAACTTTCAGAACTGGCGGTAATTTTTGTAAAGGGTTTTTGCATCGGTTTTAGCAACCGATGCAAAACGTATCGGAGTATTTGCATCGCTGGCTTTTGCATCAGTTGGAAACCGATTTAAAAGAGTCCAAATAACCGATTTAAAAAGTCATTTTTGTACTAGTGATGCCTCTGTACTTTGTTGCATTAACATCCTTACCACTGTTATCTGCTGATTTTCTCATTTGTTGGACAGGGTGTTCTAGCACTTTTGCAGTCGCTCATGTCAAACTTTTTCAACATATTTTCAGCATATTTTGTTTGTGAAATGAAGATACCTTCTACCGTTTTCTTGACTTGCAATCCCAAAAAGAAGGTTAACTCACCTATCATGCTCATCTCAAATTCTGTCTCCATGGTTTTGACAAACTCATCTATGCATGCTTTAGTTGATCCAAACACAATATCTTCTAAATAAATTTGAGCTCTGAGGATGTCTGAGTCATACCTTATGTAGAACATTGTGTTATCTCCTCCCTCTCGCTTGGTTCCATCCTTCAGTAGATATCATTTGAGTAGATATCATACCAAGCTCGTGGGGGTTGTTTTAACCCGTACAAGGCCTTGTGTATCTTGTAAACATATTCTTGATGTTATGGATCTTCAAAACCTTTAGGTTGGCCACATAAACCTCTTTTTTCAAATATTCATTCAAAAACCTAGTCTTGACATCCATTTGGTAGAGTTTCATGTTAAGCACACACGCCATACTGATCAGCATGTGTATAGATTCTAATCCAGCCACAGGTGCAAAGGTTTCCCCAAAATCAATTCCTTCAACCTATTTGTACCCTTGAGCCACTAGACGTGCTTTGTTCCTCGTCACATTACCTTCTTCACAGTCTTGTTTCTATAGATACACTTTGTCCTTATAACATTAGTGTTTTCATGTTTTGGGACAAATTCCCACACTTTGTTCTTTTCAAAATGTTCCGGCGCTTCATGCATAGCATTGATCCATGCTTCATCATTTAGCGCTTCCTCAATATTCTTTGGCTCTACTGAAGATGTATAGTAAGCTTTTGTGATCTCAAGAAAGTCAATCTTCTTCCTCCGAGTTCTGATTCTTTCTGGTGGTAACCCAGTGATATTTTCTACGAGATGATTCTTCTGAGTGTGGGTTGTAATAATTTAAAACTGAAGTCTCCACTTCCTCATTTGCCCTTTTGCCTTCTTTTGCCAGTTTTAATTCTTCATTTTTGAGAAGGTTGTGCCATATGCTGCATCACGCTCTGTGTCATCTTGTGGTTTTCTTCTATGTCGATCATCTACCATAGCATTTGTTGATTCCATGGTTGTTTTGGTTCCTTTGTTGTAAACACAATATGCCTTACTATTTGGGGAGTATCCAACAAAGATGGATTGTAACGACTCGAAAAATGACTTAGTATTTAGCCGTTATTTAAGAAAAATAAATAAATTATTTTCGGACTAAAAAATATGAACTATTTGTAAAGTTGACTTTTTTATCTAAAAATTAGGTTTCTGAGTATATCTAATAAACGGTGACCAACGGTATTAAGTTTGCTAAGTTTACGTGTAGAGCGTGGTGAGTAAAATAGACGTTACAGTTCAATAAATGAATATAAAGATTTTATAATAAAATAATAAATATTAATATTAAACTTATCTAAACCTACCCTTGCATGCAAAGAAACCCCATCCCCCAAACCCCTTTTATGCATGGAGTGTATATAAACACCTATTGGCTATGCAGTAAAACGAGGATACGGAGGAAATCATGCAAAAGAGGAGAACCGAGAGCCAATAACTGTTCAGCCCCGCGAGAAAACTAAATGCCATAACTCCAACCACAATGACACTACCGAGTGTCGACTTCGTTGTTCGCCGACATCTTCTTTTTCAATTTGATTTGTTTTAATTTACCAAATAATCTAAGTGAGTACATGCACATCTAACGCTAGATTACATATATAGGTTTGAAATTCATGTTCATAATTTCGTGCAATTGATTTTGTGATTTTTTGATTCTAGCGTTAATTATGTTTTATTAAAATTATATGATATTATTGAAATTGATTGAACCAAGACGACCAGAAACATTTTCTTAATTTAAATTGTGGGATTTGCATCATAATAATCTTTAAAAACATTGTACGTATTGAATGGTTTAGAATTGGATCAAACTATGTTGTTTCAAGATTTTTCTTGATGTCAGATGGTAGCTAGGTACCACCTCACGGTACCCTGCTACCGTCACAATCCATTGTGAGTCGTTTGGCTCTGCCGGTATCTGCGCCTGGAAGGTAGGGGGTACCAAATCGACGATACCAAGGTACAGTCTGGAAGATCTGGAAACCGTGACAGGTATCGTGTCAGGCCCCTTCTCAACCCGTTATTTGTTTGTTTGTCCCAAGTTGGAACCCTGGGTTGACTCTGAGTGCTTATGTGTTACATGACAGCAAGTGAAAGGTATTTACACCCGACATTAGGCCGCTAATTGTGTTGTAGGATTGATTATCGGATTATTGTTATCTTTCTTGTTATCATAAAATAAATTACTATTGTGATTTGAAAGTAAATAACAAAGTGAGATTGTTGTTAATATAAGTATGACTTTTAGAGATATGATAAATAAATGTTTAGGCTAACTAGTGGAACTCTAAGACTGTTTTAGTAAGATCATAAGTGTAAATGTCAATAGGTAGAATGAGCCCTGCGAATCTAATATCTCACGGATGCGGGTTAAAGCGTACGTACAGGATCCACAGACTGTCGTTCTAAAGGGGATATGGGTACCACCCACTCAGCAGAGAACTGATTCGTTGGTCAAGTCGTGTTGTATTGTAATATGTTGAATATGGTATACTTGATTCATAATCGAAATGTTAGATATTTCTCACTTAGCTTTAATGCTAAGCGTGTAGCCATTTTTCCTATTTGTTACACGTAGGTAAGAGGAATGATGAACAAGGAAATAGTCTTGGAGGCAGCGAGAGCAGAGAGATGGATGGATGCTAGCTGAGGAGTTTGTTGAGTTGATTAATATATTTGAATTTATTATGTTTTAAGGGCAAGTACCCAACTTGTGTTTCAAATTAAGTAGTTTAAAGCTTTCGCACCGTTTTTGTTAACTACAATAGATATTAAAATAATGTTTTGAATTAAATGTTTTTAATTGTTTTGAAAATAAGTTGTGTTTGATGCCAATTTCGTAGCAACCCGGTTTGCTAACTCCTTGGTTCAGGTTATACGGTTAAGGTGTTACATTTTGGTATCGAAGTAATTGGTTTTAAACTCGGTCTTTGGACCCTTTCAAGAGATGAATTTTCAAAAAAATATAATTGAAAGTGGTGATTTTTTCATAAGGTATTCAGCAGCAGCATCCGCATCTCTCGCAACTCCTCTGCCCCAGGAAGGTAATAAAACTTTACAATTGTTTACTATGTGTTAATCTCTGGTTAGGAAATTATGTTTAGAGATTTGACTCGATCAAATGAATTGATTTACATGTTGTTTTGCTCTTATCTGTGTATGTTATGTTTTCTTGTCTTTTGGCTACTCATTAGATTAAGGAATTTCGAGGATGAAATTCTTTCGAGGAGAGAAATGTAATGACCTGAAAACTGGCTTAGTAGTTAGCTGTTATTTTAAGAAAAATAAATATGTTATTTTCTGACTAAGAAATGTGAACTATTTGTAAAGTTGACCTTTTTATCTAAAAATTAAGTTTTCGGATAGATATCGTAAAATGGTAACCAACGGTGTTAAGTTTGCAAAGTTTGGACATACATATAGAGAATGGTGAGTAAACTAGACATTATAGTTCAATAAATAAATATAAAGAGTTTATCATAAAATAATAAATATTAATATTCAACTTACCTAAACACAACAAAGAACCCCCCACCCCCCAAACCCATTATATGCATGGAGTATATGTAAAGACATATTGGCTACAAAGTGATAAAAGAATACATAGGAAATCGAATACGGGGTACATACGGCCGCACTAATCGTGCAAAAGAGGAGAATCGAGAGCCAAGCGCTGTTCAGTGGCGCGAGAAAATTAGGCGCCATAACTCCACCCGCACTGACACTGCCGACACCGTTGATGGCCGATGTCTTCTTTGTTAATTTGATTTGTTTTAATTCGCCAAATAATCTAGGTGAGTACGTGGACATATAACACTAGATTACGTATATAGGTTTGAAATTGATGTTCGTAGTATTGTGTGATTGATTATGTGATTTGTTTGATTCTAGCGCTAGTTATGTTTGTTAGCCTTGGTTTGCTAAGCCTCATGTTTTGATGTTAACAAACAATATAAGAGCTTAACATTTGTTTAAGTGTTTCAGGTAAAACAAGAATCCATTAAGATTCGGTACTCAAGAATGAAGTCGAAACACTAAACTAGCGTAGAATATAGGTAGAAACCAATGTAAGGATATGACTTTATATACCTATATTCACTAGCTCAAAAGCACTCACAAAATATGTTTAAAACCATCGCATAAACATTTTCAAATATCTAAAAGGTTTTAAACTCAAACACGAAGGATTAAGGGAATTTTGGAAAAACCAGAACAGAGCCACGGTACCCCTAGCGGTACCCAATACCGCCTAAACGCTAGGGTATACCGCCTACACGGTACCCCCATACCGTGTAACGGTACCTGGGTACTGACGGTAGGCAGAGACGGTTGGACCAACCTGTCCTAACCAGGTACCGCCAGAGCCAAATGGATTTTTAGTGGGACACGGTATCGAGGTACCGCCACTCACGGTATCCCCCTACCGTACGCACAGTACCATGCTACCGTGTGGACGGTACCGGCCTATCGTGACCGTTGGGTTACTGTTCCTGATTTGTGATTTTGAATTAAATCAACCCTAATCACCTCCCAACGGCTAATTAACATCTTCCACTATAAATACAAGCCTAATCCTTCATATTTCTTCAAGAAACAAAGCTCTAAACATCCTCTCTTTTTATTCTAAGTGTGTTCATCCTTTTATTAATTATTTTCAATATTTTGGCTATTTCAAGAGCCTTAAATTCCTAATTTTTATACACACACTTTGAGCTTGTGTTTCTAGTTATATACTCTCATATTCATAAGTTTGAATTGTATTCATAAGTTTTGTTCTTCATTTTAATATTCTAGCCGTTGTGTAGAATCTAGTTTTGTGTTCTTCAAACACACCTTCTTACGGTCGAGAATAGCCGTTCAATTCTCAAGTTGTAACGGTTAAGGATAGCCGTATAAATCCTTGGGTAAAGGTTCAAGGATAGCCTTTGAAATCCTTGGGGGAACGATAGAAGATAGCCGTTAAATCTTCATTGTAAACGGTTCGAGATAGCCGTGGTGAAATCTCGGAGTGAATCCTATTGGCAAGGGTTGTTTGCCAAACTAGCACGGTGCTTTGACGGAGTTCAAGAGACCGAGACTTAGTGGATTCGGAAATCCTTGAGGAGGAGCCTCGAGGTACTGGAGTAGGGAGTTCTCGAACCAGTATAAATTCGGTGTGCATTTTATTTACGCTTTTATTTTTGTGTCTTATATATTGCTTCCACATTTGCCAACACCGTTTTTATTAAACTCCGAAAAGTTTTCAAACGCCTTATTCACCCCCCTCTAAGGCGTGGGCACAATGACTAAACCGACTAACAATGTTTTATTAAAATTATATGATATTATTGGAATTGAATGGACGAGGACGACCATGATAATAATCTTTAAAAACATTATATGTATTGAATGGTTTGGAATAAGATCAAATTCTGATGTTCTTAGATTTTCCTGACATCAGACGATAGCTAGGTACCGCGTCATGGTACCCTACTAATGGCATAATTCATCGCGAGCCATTTGGATATGGCGGTACCTGCGCACGGACGGTAGGGGGTACCAGGCCGACAATACTAAGGTACCGCCTGCTAGTACAAGAGTACCGTGACAGGTACTGTGTCAAACCCCTTCTCAACCCGTTATTTGTTTGTTTGTCCCAAATTGGAACCTGGACTTACTCTGAGGCCTTATGTGTTACATGGCAGTAAGTGAAATGTGTTTACACCCGACACTAATCCGCTAATTATGTTATATGATTGATTATCAAACTATTGTTATATTTCTTGTTATCATTAAATATTATCACGTTGTGTTTTGAAAGCAAATAACAAAGTGAGATTGTGGTTAGTATTAGTCTGAATTTTAGAGGTGTTGTAAATGAATGGTTAAGTTACCTAGAGGAACTCTAGGACTGTTTTAATAAGATTATAAGTGTAAATATCAATAGGTAGAATTAGCTATGCGGATCTAATATCTGACCGGTGCTGGTTAAAACGTATGTATAGGATCCACAAATTATCGTTTGGAAGGGAACAAGGATACCACCCACCCAGCGGAGAACTTCTTCGATGGTCAAGTCGTGTTGTATTTTAATGTTTTGAATAAGATAGACTTGATAATTCACCGTAGGTAGTGGCTCTAAGTTCTAAGATAAGGTTGTGAATAAAGATGTACGGTTTTAGCCTAGTATTTAATTTATGAGCTATTAATAAAGATGAATTAAGGTAATGATTTGTAACTTTTAAATTCATTTAATGATTATTATGTGATGTTATTTGTTGTACTTGTGTCCATGATATTGTATAAAATTATGAGCTAGTGGGTTTGTGCATATGCATAGTAGAAACGTTAGATATTTCTCACTTAGCTTTAATGTTGAGCGTGTAACCCTTTTTCCTATTTGCTACACATAGGGAATAAGAACGATGAATAAGGCAATAGTCCTGGAGGCAGCGAGAGCAGAGAGATGGATGGATGCTAGCTGAGGAAATTGTTGAGTTGATTAATATATTTGAATTTATTATGTTTTAAGGGCAAGAACCCTAGTTGTATTTTGAATTAAGTAGTTTAAAGCTTCCGAACCGTTTTTGTTAACTACAATAGATATTAAAATAATGTTTTGAATTAAATTTTATTTAATTCTTTTGGATATAAGTTGAGTTTGATGCTAATTTCGTAGCAACCCAGTTTGCTAACTCGTTGGTTCGGGTTATACGGGTTAGGGTCTTAATTACATTTTGGTATCGGAGCAAATGGTTTTAATCCTAGTCTTTTGCCCCTTTCAAGTGATGAATTTTCAAAAACAAAAGTGAAAGTGGTGATTTGTTTATAAGGCACGTCAGTAATAGCATTCGCATCTCTCGCAACTCCTCTACCCCACTAAGGTAATAAAACTTTAAAATCGTTTGCTACGTGTTAATCTTTAATTAGGAAAGTATGTTTAGTGATTCGACTCGATCAAGTTAATTGATCTACATGTTGCTTCTTTGTTCTTATCTGTGTAAGTTATGTGTTCTTGTGTTTTGGGTACTCGTTAGATTATGAAATTTCAGGGACCGAATTCTTTAAAGGGGGAGAGAAATGTAACGACCCGAAAACCGGCTTACTAGTTAGCCATTATTTTAAGAAAAACAAATTTATTATTTTCTGACTTTAAAAAAGTGAACTATTTGTAAAGTTGACCTTTTTATTTAAAAACAAGGTTTTTGGGTAGATCTCGTAAAAGGGTAACCAACGTTACTAAGTTTGGACTTACCTGTAGAGCGTGGTTAGAAAAAATAGATGTTACAGTTTCATAAATAAATATAAAATTTGTATAATAAAATAATAAACATTAATACTAAACTTACGTAAACCTACCCGTGCATCCATCGAAACCCCCCCAAACCCCTTTTATGCACGGAGTATGTATGTATATATATATATATATATATATATATATATATATATATATATATATATATATATATATATATATATGCTATGATGTAGTACAAGGATATATGGATGCACTAATTGTGCAGAAGAGGAGAACCAAGTGCCAAGCTCTGTTTAGCTCCGCGGGAAAACTAGATGCCATAACTCCAGCCGCGGTGACACTACCAACGCCATTGTTCGCCAACGTCTTCTTCGTCAATTTGGTTTTTTAAATTCGGCAAATAATCCAAGTGAGTATGTGGACATCTAACGCTAGATTACGAATATAGGTTTGAAATTGACATTTGTAGTTTTGTGTGATTGATTATGTGATTTGTTTGATTCTAGTGTTGATTATGTTTTATTAAAATTATATGATATTATTGGAATTGATTGAATGAGGACGACCAGGT